ATATTTGTGACTATGCTAGACGTTTCTTATATAAATGCAGAGCAGGTGGAGGGCTTCCCACTTATTCTGCTGTTGGTGTTACTTCTTCTTCTTAATCATTTCTGGTGAAGAGCAATATATATTACTGGTTCTTTGGTTACATTACAACTTTGATTTCAGTGCCCAAATTTTAATGGTCAATTACAAAGTACAATGTTTTAGTCATGCTTTGTTTTGTCTTTTCATGACAGAATTTATTTATTTTCTTATTATAAGGTTCATTGTATTGGAATTTCTTTTCATATTAATTTGTATAAAGTTTTCATGCAAGATGTACTAGTTTTATATATCCTGCCTTTTTATTTTATGATGCATTTGATACATGTGCACTGATGTGAGTAAACTTGCAACTAAGTAAGATTTAGCTCATAATCATTCTCCATATTTAAACTATAGAAACTGAGTGTTTTTTAACTCTTTCTATTGTTCCAATCCCAGGTGAGTTTCCATCTAAAATACTCACAATTTTTTTTGCTTTCTAATAAAAATACTAAAGACACAATGTGAAGCCTATGTAATAATAAAATCAATATCTTAATGTGTTTTACGAAAATAATCAATTTTGCCTTGGTTATGTTTTGTAGAATCTAAATCGACTTTTAATCTGAAAATCAAGAAAGAACAGAGTGAATGTGGCGGTAATGGTGATGCACCTTATCAGGTTATGTTTCAAAGCTACGCGCTTCAACTTTTAAGTTTCAAAGCGACGTGCTTCAAATTTAAATGCCAAGAAGTTCAGAGCTTTTAAATGCATAAATGGAAACAAAGAGCTCATAGTGGGGAACAAGAGTTTCATGCTTAATTCTTGTAATTTGTAAAAATGATGAATAAAAGCATAAAATGGTTTTTATTTTGTTAATTTTTTGTAAAACAATATTAATTTTTTTATTAGAGAAAAATTTGCCTTCAATTTGTTTGTATTCAATTTTGTCTTCTATTTATAAAATAATATTAATTTTTAAGGTTCTTATTATTTCTTAAATTGTGTTCAATTTCCTGAAATTGTCTTCAATTTAACTTTTTTGAAGTTATTTAAATTTTTTTTTAGTTAATAAAAATCTTGGACTTTTGTCTCAAATTTGCTCTTGAAAAATTTTAATTTTTATTTTATATTAAAAAATAAAATATTTTTTTATAAATTTATATTCTAACGAGCCAATTTCAAGCCGAACATAAGCAGAAAAATATTATTTGAGCTAAAAAAAAGCCGAACAAGAATAAAAAAATATTATTCGAGCCGAACACGAACACACTGTTCACGAGTCATTTCGAACACAAATCGATTTCGAACATGAGCTAATATCGAACCAGCCGAACACGAGCGGCTCGTTTACAACCCTACCCACACACACACCATAATCCATAAATTATTTTTTCAAGTATAATGAAAGCTTTAAACTACATCATGAGATAAGACAGTTTTCTATCGCATCTAAAGTAAAACCATGTGAATTTGGGTGCACGAGACTTTTTCTTTTCTTCTATTTTTTTCATGTTGAGGATGTTGCAATGAAACTAATTTATCATAATTTATTTCCCACAGAACTTAGAAAAAAAAGGGCCATTGAGAGAGTTGAATTTCTCCTTGACATATGGCTTTGCTTTCTTCACTGATTTGGTGGGCAGTTAACAAAAGAATTGGTGGGTCTAAAACGCAATGGCAGGCATTGTGACATAAGATTATGCATGCAACAAGCAATCCACATCATACTTTATTAGGGGCATTTAGATACATACCGCATAATTTTTTTATGAACTTACATATCTAACACCCATATTTACATGCATGCTACTCAAAAGTCAAGTCTTTAACATTACATAAGAAAAATACCACCGTCGCTATCTTATTAAAAGTGAAATATAACATTTCATGCATATGTTTATGACACAAAAGTGCTATTATAAGTGTTAAAAAAAAAAAAACCTTGGATGTTAAATATGTATACACATAAGAATTGTGCGGCATGCAAGTAAATTTCTCTTACTATTATCATGAGATATATATCTAATATTTGGAGTTAGTTTTTTTCTAAGTTATATTCTTTGTAGTTTTTTTTGTTGAGTGATACACTATCTGTTATTGCTAATCTTTTGAAGTTGATTTAATCCACATAATTGATTGGTTTATGTTTAATTATTTGTTATGGGTGCCCAAAATTTTTGAAATATATTTTTCATTATTTTATTTAAGGAAAAATGTTGCTCCTACAATCACTCCAACTTAATTATTTTTCAATCCAACATTCATGGTTTCACCACACAACAATTTTAACAATTTAATATTATTTTCATTTTACATTTAACTTATCCATCAATAATATCTTTATAGTTTTATAAAGTTAATATTTTTGTATTTTCATAGGTTTATACTCTTGAGATATTTTTCTATTAAATTACTCATTCTTAATTATTAAAGTTATAATATGGTTTATATTCTTATTTTTCAGTGTATTATATGTGAAATACTTAGAGATATCATTCACAATCATCTCTACTTTATCTAAAATCAATATTAGTTCATAATTTTTGTAATTACTCCTATAAAGACTATTTATCATATAAATGTCAAATTTATTAAATAGTTTTAATCTGTTCTTGCTATGTTGACTAAGCTAGTATGTATATTATTTTTTCCTAGTGTCTCCCCTGTGCCATTCACAATTAGCTAACATCTTTGCATCAACTAAAATGATCTACAAGTGCAAACTAAAAAAAAAACATAATAATAATAAATAAAACATATTTTCATAATAAATTGACTACAAAGTTTATTTTTTTAAACACCTTATTAAAATATTATTTTTAAATGAACACCAACCTATTAAGATAATAAGCTTTATGACCTAATAAATGAATATAAGTTAACAGATATTAACTAATATTAATAGATCTCTTTCTCTTGAAATTCATTTGACTTGGCTCAATAACCAAGTCTACAAACCAATATACTTAGGGTTCGTTTGGGGCAGCTTATGCGTTTCAAGATAAGCTGCTCTTATCCTGAAACGCGGCCCACGGTCTGGCCGCGGGGTCGACCCGCAGTCTGTAATTAGTGTAAAAACTCAAACGCAGTTTCGGATAAGCTGGTGAAATGCGTGAACCAAACGCTACGGCAACGTTTTGAAAACGCCGTCCGCACTTATAAGATGCCCCAAACGGGCCCTTAAATAAACAACTTATATTGTTTCATCCTAAAGGCCATTTTCCATTGATTCCAACCAATTGAGAAAAATGAGTTTCAGTGCAAAGCATTTATATATTTAAAACAGATTTCAGGGAAAAATTAGTCCACTTGAAACCTATGAAGAGATTATCACTTTTCTTTATATTTAGCAAGGAAACTCGTACAATACTTGCTTATCAGACAATGGAACTAGTTTTTAACCCATTTTGTTTGCCCTTTTCAAAGGCAAACAAAATGTACCTTGAAAAAAAGGATCAAATGATTAGGGAAAAAACAGGAGTTTGAAAGGGATTCAAAATTGAAAAACTAGACAAGCATCAATAGGAATGCCAATTGGCTTCCAAAGCGATTAGAAGTATATTATGTTTATATTACATTTCATTTGCATACATTCTAATTTTTTTAATGTTTAATTCAAGGAGAAGGTAGGCATTAGACACAACTCGTCTCATATTATTCTCACATATGAAAAACCAATGATATCGAGTGAAAAAGAAACCGCACTCACACAATCTCATGAACTCATTTGTGCTATCGAGCTTTTCATTGCATCAATCCCATGTTCTCCATCATTGCCTTCATAGGATCTCATGACATCCCATCCTAAGTTTGTAGCCACTATATCATTACCTCTTCTTTTTTCTTTTTTTTTTTTTTAGCCCATGAAGAGTTATATTTTAAATACATTCAAACAAATAAAATTAATCAACACACCAAATTTATGTTGCTTCCAAACCAGCACTTAAGCAAGGAAATATTATCATCAGTTTATATTGAATTCTAAAACCAGCACTTAAACAGTCAGAATTCAATCGATTTGAGCAAAATTTGAATTAGTCCACGAATTACAAACCCCTCTAAATTTTACTTTACATACACTATCAATCAAACATCTAAAATTGTGAAATCTTTGCATTTGATTCATTGCACTTGTAATACTTGCAACAACACAAGGCCTTAGGCTTTTGAGCTAGGATGCCCTCATACACCTACACAAGCTTGCATTTGTTTTCTTTGATCTATTTTTTTGATAAAATGATGATCAAGATGAAATAATTGAATAACTTTATTCCTATTTTTTAAATTTACTTCTAGAAAGCCTCTTTCAATACTCAGATTAATGATAAAATATAATAAAGGGACATTTAACTGTTTGTATTTTTAATACACTGTATATTAATTATAAGAATTTTACAACTTTGAAGATTTGAATTGAAGAAAAGTAAATACAAAATATTCCTATGTATTAAAATTTCTATGGAAGTCATTTTTAACATTATTAAAATTCAACTGCTCCAGGCAAATTTTTCATATATATATTCACAAATACTTAATTAAATACCAACAAAATGTTACAAAAACATGACTAAAAGAAAGTTGGACATAAAAGAAATATAATAAATCTTATGCATAGGAAATAAAATAGCTAAAATCTTCAACAATATTTCAGCAATTCATCTGCATCCATCTGTGTTCTTTTGTAAGAAATAAGATTTCATGGAAAATGTCTTTGTATCTCATATTTCCATGAACAAAGACCTTAGGCTCTTTGAGCTGCATCCAATTCAGTAAAATCAAGGATTATTCCTTTCACACAACAAATGAGGGATTATGCCTTTCATTGAGAAACATGATTCGTAGGAAAATAACACTTTAGTCGCATCTAAAAGAAATACTTCCGAAAAAAAAAAAAAAACACAACCACAACACCTTACTTATGCATTACTTATGCATGAAAAGATGTATTTTGCTTTTTAAAAGTTGAAATAGTGTATTTTTTTCTTAATTTGATATGCAAAATCTGGGCGGTATAAATGTAACAAAGAAAGTTTAGACATCAGGTACTTCAATACATAAGAATTGGGTGGTATGAATATCAATGCCCCTAAGTTTAAATGCTCTGAAATAAAGATAAAAACTTCGAGGGAATGCTAAGATTCAATCTTATGTAGTTGTTAATTCATTAAAGGCCGCATTATTTTTTTTAAAATCCAGTTAAATAACATCAATTAAGTTTAATCTAGAAAAAGACCAGAAATATAAGTTATGAACAGTTATTTAGGATGCGTCAAGATAGCTTTAAAATAAAGAAGGATTTACCTACAAATCACGCTTGTTTTCATGTATTTACATATCAAACATCTAAATCCTTGAATTTACTTGTATACCGCATTGCTATCAAAATCACATTAAAAAATAGAGATATTACATAAAAAACACTTGGAACATTGCTATTTACAGAACTGGCACCCGGGTGATTTATTGAACTAAAAAAATATTAATGAAAATGTGTGTTTTAGTTTTATTAAGTCAATATTAGTGATGTTTTTTATGTCATTTAAAATATTGAGTGTCATAATAAATATGACGATTCAGATGTTAGATATGCAAATCCCCCAAAAATGAAATAATAACTTACCAATGAAAATGGAGGAAACCCTTTTTGGAGATGGGCTCTTGAAAATCCATTTACTGCAAATAAGCATTTGTAGCCATCCACAAAAGGAAGCTCACTGCTTTAAAAAACAGTACAAGGAATATAGATCAGTCAAAACACATGAGGTAAAAGACAAGCTAGAAAATGAAGAAGGCATTCTACCGAATTCATTAATCAGTAAAAAAACAGCTATTAATAATATAGTAATTAATCAGTTGAACAACAAATCATATTCCGCATACCTAAAAGAAACAGAATCAAGCACCACATCACATTGATGAGCATCATCAACATCATTTGCCTCATCAGAAGTATTTGTAGTCAACTTTATAATTTGTAATTTCTCATTCGCTCAAACTAGCAGTTGTCTAAGATATTGAACATATTCCCTAAAGATAATTTTAAACAACTTTTATGATATGTTAGGTCACCTCTCCTTCCTAATACATGGAAATTTTTTACTGGCCTCATAACTATTAATACTAATTGTTGTACATCATGCATATCTTTGATAATTTCAACATCACTTTGGTACACACCTTTTTTCTTTAACGCACACTAAATCAAATCTTGTGTTACTCAATCATTTGGCTTCTCACGATTAAAAATCATGTAACCGCCCTTCTAATTTTCTCAAGATTTTTTCATTAACTATCTTAAGAGTGTGAAAAAGAAAAGCGCATCAGGAAACCTTTAAAAGATGACTTGTATTCTAGTTACATGTTATAACATAACTGTTGACCTCATTTCTAGTGAGGTGTAGTTTTTCTCTTAGGGTTTATGATCTAGTCTTAGGGTTCTCCCTTTGACTATCTTAGAGCCTTAGAAATGGGATGCGCCTCATTTTAGAAATTCAACATGCTTCTTTACTCTTTTGGAGTTTCACATGTGTGGTATCGGTCTCTAGCACTTGGAGGTTGAAACCAACATGAGGAAACCAAAAATGAGTCTCTATAGAATCATTAAGCCCTAGGATTGCCTCATGCATAATATGCACCTTCACGCGCACAAACTTCGAAATTCAGAGAGTCAACACGTTTGATCACTACAATTCGCATCGCCTGCTCCGTTATTTATCGAAAGCTTAAATAATTTTTTTTGAAACGATCGATCGTGAACCGAAATTTCGACGAAAATTGAATTCGACGTTTTTTGACCTGATCGTCGACAAATTTGTCCGGACGACCCGAAATGACATTCATTTTGCTAGGGCGCCGCGCACGAATAAACTGTGTTAAATTTGCATTTTTTTTAATAAATAAAAAAAAGATAAAATCCTTATTTCAAAATTCCTAAACCCTAATCCCTAAACTCACACACCTGTCCGCTCTTTTTTTCCTTCCCGTTCGCGAACAATCTCGTGCCCTACTTTTTCTCGGGTTCAGCCAAATCGCTGCCCTAGCCGAGCTTCATTTCTCACGACCGAGCTCCATTCTTCTCGTGAAGCTTCCTCGAGGTCCCCTCACCACAGCTTTCGACTTTTCCTCCACTTCCCCGTGCCCTGCAAAAAGCTTCCACCTATTCTGCCGCGCCCCAGCTTTCCCCTCGCCAAGCTCCATGCGATGCTTGTTGTTTCTCACCCGTATCTTTTGGTTCGGCTCAACCCTCCGGTAAGCCATGGTATTTCGTCTCCTCCCTTCCTCTGCTATAAAAATCCTCATTTGGGGAGTCTTTCAGGTTGGCCGAAATTTCTAGCGAGGGGGAGGTGCTGCCATTTTTTTTTTTTGGTTTATCCTGTGTGTGTGCTTGAAATATTTTTGAAGTTCTGTTTTCTCTTGGGTAAAGCCTGAGAGAGGAAAAGAGGTTGTTGAAATTTTGGAGAGGACGCAGATTCTGTTGTTGAATCACTGTTGGTTGTGTTTTGTTGCCTCGGAGCTTTTGTGTTCGTTCTTTTCTAGTTCTTTCAGCAGGTAAGTCCTCTCCCTTCTCCTCTTCCGTTTTCAGTGTTATTTTTCTTTGATTTGTTGTGCATATATATATATATATAAAAAGGAAGAGGAGGGATGGCTTATGCTGTTATTTCCTTAGTTTTGTTTATGGTGGTCATTTTTTAATATAATTATGCCTTATGGCTGCACCCATCTCCAACCCGTGTTCTACTCCTTTTCTTTACACATGGAATCTCGAAATACATATGGACTTGGGGTTTTCCTTGGTCGGACAATCTATTTGCCTATCAATTAATCTTGATGAAATTGTTTGAACTATGATTGTACGGGGCATGTTGGATCCTATTTACATTTAACATATATATTTCTTTCAATATCCTCATATTCATACAAGAAAAGTAGTATATTAGCAGATGTGAGCAGACTTTTGGTAGGCCTCTACATACTTTTGCTCAGTTTCAGATTTACAATGGACATACCTATTTATTTGTTTGAGATAAATGCATATATGTGCAGATTTTCTTCATCCTTATGTGCTTACATACATTGTATTTGATTATCTAGCTGTTTAAGTGGTTCATATGTCACTCTTCATGTCCAGAATAGTTAGCATATGTTGCATGATACTTTGGAGCTCTATAATTTGCTGAGGTTGGGTCGTGTTGCATGGGTTGGTAGCCTTGTAGTTTGCTAATTGGACCCTTGTTATATGGTATACATGAGTAAGATGGTAGATATGCATGAAATGGGGCTTGGATGTTGGATACATGAACAATAATTAAGGATTTACACATGTGTTGCTCAAATCATACATATATGCATGTGTTTACTACATATTTAATATTCACATTCTGACCATTGTGTAGAGACCATTTAATTTCTATGTATTATACATTCAACAGCCAAGTCTCACTCATGGTAGTGTTCGCATTCAATTTCGATGTGGATTTGAGCCGATTTGCATACATATCACCCAATGCTTATTAGTTTACACTTATAACACCAAAGCTTGAAGTTTGCATACATATCACTCGAATTCTTATGCATTTACATAACTAGCAAGACAAAATGTAGGAATGCAATTTGCCTTACTGCTTATGAATATCTTTGGCTATCTCTTATATGTTTATATTTGTGAAATCTGAAAACTGTGTGAGTCGTTCCTTTTATATACATATAAGCTTGGGATTCACGTGGGTTGCTTTGAGCTGCATAACCTTGTTGTTTTGAAGAAGTTTAAAGCTCATTTTGGTTCGATTGTTATTACAAATGTTATTTTCGGGCCCTATCGGCTTGCGGTTTGGTGAGGGTAAAAATGTTGTTCTTTTCAATCCTATAATTGCAATGTTTTGGGACTGTCTGACAATTTATTTGGCTACGGTTTTGGAGCACCATTTTTAGACTGTTTTAACGCTATTTTAAGGGATGGTTAAGTCAAAAAATGAGAATTTCTGATTAATTATTTGGAAAACACTTAAAAAATATTTGAGGATTAGTTGGAAAACACTTCATTGAAAGCAAAACACCCTAAATCACTGCAAGCTCTAAATCACTGCAAGCTCAAGCCCTAAATCACTGCAAGCTCAAGCTAGAGGCATGGACTTCCAAGACTTTAGGAGCACACCCAAGGTAAGAGTTCATCTACCTAATTTTCAAATGAATGACGAAACTAGGCACTTGATCTTAATTCACAAGACAATTAAAACACTAAACATAAGGTATATGAAGATGTGGTTTATAACTTCTTTTTAATTAAATCAAGTTGTGAAATTCCCGTCATGACTTAATATACAGTGAAACTCAATGCTTCAAGATTTGAGCTTGAGTCTTATAGTCAAATCCTCCTAGCAATTGGAGACATTCCTAATGTCACGTCTAAGTCACATACTTCTGGTCCTTTATACGTGACATCGTGTTTTGTTTTACTCGTTCGTATTTTTTTATTATGATTTTATTATACCGAATTTTCTAGCAATTTGTTTAAGTTTCCTGCAATTCGTTGTTCTTTTTATTGCATTATTTACTTTAATGTACCTGCTAAAATCCTTGGGTAGAGAACAGTAGAACATATGTTAGGAGGTACACCGGGACCTTGAGACCCAACAATAATTATACTTGCAAATACAAAACATAAACTAAATTTGGAGTCGTTACAGTTTGAAGGTTGGAGCAAGTCTTTGTGGGCAGCACGACGGAGAAACAACAAATGGAGGATGACGATCTACAACAGCATACCTTTCCTTAAAATTAAACAACAAGCCATAGAATTTCGAGGTAGTCTGTCTAGCGCAACATAAATCCTCACTTTATCTTTTAGGCCTTCGCATAGCCAAGTTGTGCAATGTAAGCCCGAACTCGATTTAGATTCCGAGATTGTCGTCCGATACGATGTAAACCCTCATATCTTCCAAGCCATTTGTATGACTGTATCATGCAAATAGAAGTCCTAAATAATAAAATTGACAGAATTAAACATCAAATAACATATTCTCAAAATTGAAGCCGAACAATAGGATAGTTTGGGAAGTTACTGAGGTTTTTCCTCAAAATCTGTGACATCCCCTACTTTTCTTTTGTTTGACTCCAGAACTAAATGTTTCTTTTTTATCCTTTCTCACTTTACTTTTATATGTCCAACCTTGAAAACCCTAACTTTTGGATTCATGAAGATAGATATCTCTAATCATCATGGAGAGTTCTCTTCAGTGACTTTAGTAATTTGAGAGCTAATTAATTATAGGTGTTTGCCTATATAGGGAGCTTTAAAACCGAGATAATATAAACTATTTAATTTTTAATATTAGGTAGGGGAACTTGTCGATCAACATAAATGTTTAAAAACTAAAACGGATGTCCTAAATTCTTTAGTTTATATAATTGAGTCTCACTAGCAAGTAGTGTATATATCACTCGAGGTAGATATATTGCTTGTGTTATTGTGCTCGATCATTTAAACTATCGCAGATATGAGATCGGTGTGGTCTTGTATATTCAAAAATCAAAATATTACTTTTTATAAATTATATATATGAGTTACATTAAACATCTTTTAAAATCGGGCGTCGAAATATCCATTCTGGCGGCCGACAATTTCTAATTTTTTTAAAACGACCGACAATAACTTTATAGTGTTTTATAGTATCAGCAGAAACATGTAAATAAATATACCCTCCATCCAATAATTTTAAAA